TTTGAGTTCTTGACACTATCACAAAGCAGTTTTCCAAGTTAAAAGCTGGTGGTCATCTCCTGCACATCCCAGCCCCTATACCCGGCTACCAGACCCTCAGACCCACCTCCAAGTCACCCCTTCTCTGGCTTCTGCCAGGAACCCCTCTGAGGATTCCTACACCCCATCCTTGGTCACACTCACCACTCACAGCAATATCTCATGACTCAGACCTATCTTTATCACTCCCACGCATGGTTTTCTATTTTTACTTCATAAACATATATTCATAATTATATATTATTGCTTTGTGTTTTGAAAAATGACATAAATGGTATCATAGTTTGCATATTCTTTTGCAATTTTCTTTTTTGCCCATTATGTCCTTGATGTTGATCCACTTTGACGCATATGGTCCTTCATTTATTTTCACTTGTAATCCCATGGACAAATAAACAATGCTACATATTTGTTTCCAGTTAGGATCCAGGTAGCATGTTTCTATTTTCTCATTTTTGTACATGATGCCCCAAATAATACCCTAGTACCCACATCTATGGCCATGAGCTCATGTGTCTTTGGAGAAGATATCCTGATACAGGATGACTGGGGGGGTGAGAATGGGCATTTTTGACTTTGTTAACTATTTGGGGCTGCTCTGGAAAGTAGTAAACAGTAACGAATGGTCTGCTTATCTCTCTCCGTCTCACCAAGCTCAATGTTGGCCACACTGATGGGCAGAAAGGCCGTTTTACTGTTGAGTTTGACTTGCATTTCTCTGGTTAGCAGTAAGATCAACCGTTGTTATGCATACTGGTTGTTCATGTCTCTGCACTATCTTGTCTCTTTCTTTGCCTTTCCACTATGTTCAATGAGCTGTCATTCATTGCTTTGAAATAGGCTGTTGGGCTGGGGGTATTTAGCTCAATGATAGAGCACTGGTCAAGCATGCATGAGACCCTGGCTCAACTTCCAGTACTATATCAACCACAATAACAGTATGATAATAAAATAGGCTGTTCTATATTTGGGATATAATCCTTTGTTGGTGAAGTCTTGGTAGTCCTTTCCAATTTTTATGTTGCCTTCTATATTATAGAATTTTAATCATTTTCTGTTTCCATCTTTTTTTCTATGTTTGATGACATTTTAATTTCTTGTTGAGCAAATGTTTCCGAGATATGTAAACATATTCTCCCAGGGGTCTTTCTAAAGGGTTTGTGTTTTGATATTCATCAGTGGTCTTCATGGAGGGAACTAGGCGTGCACACCCTCCTTATGGAGCAGCCCATCTCTCCCGCTGATCTAATAATTGACGGCTGGGGTGGTATCTCCTCTCCCCTTTCTGCAGGACTCCAACTCTTTATTGATTGATTGATTGATACCGGGGATCGAACTCGGGTCCTTGTGCTTGCGAGGCAGGTGGCGGAACCACTGAGCTAAATCCCCGACCCTCCATTTCTTCCACTGTGATGCTCTCTGCCACTCTCTGCACTGACGCCACATTGTTTTACTGCTAGACTGTTGGAGGAAGACTTCATATCTTGTAGGCTCATGCCCTTTGCCTTTTTCTTCAAACTTAACTTTTCTACATCAACTCATCAAGTTCAACAGAATCCGGTTTTGATTGGTATTATACTGAATGTATAAATGAATCAGAAGAAAATGACATCTCTTTGATGTCAACTCTTCTGAACATCATCATAGAATAATTCTCAAATTATTTAAGATTTATTTCTTTCACCAAAATGTTGTACACAATTTTTGATACACTTTTAGGTGGCTACCTTTGTATGATCATTATGAAAGGTATTAGTGTGTGTGTGTTTTGGTATAGAAGACCTAAAATGTCTCCAAAAGTCTCATGAATTCTGAGTTCAAGCTTTATAAAAGTGATTATATCATGGGGGCATTAACCTCATCAATGGATTATTGATAAATTCGTAGCTGAATGTGTTGTTAAAAGGAGGTAGGTCACTGGAGGCATAGCTTTTTGAAGGGTATAACATTTCCTGGTTCTCTCTCTCTGCTTCACAGTTGCCACAAGGTAAGCAGCTGTCCACCATACCCTCCTACCATGATGTTTCTGCCTTATAGTTAGCCAATTATGAACAACTCTAAAATGGTGAGCTAAAATAAAACTTTTTCTTTTAAGTTGTGTATGTCAAGTATTTTCACCAAGCAACAGAAAGTAACTAACACAGTGCTACTGTTTTTTTTTTCTTGCCATAACTAGCAAGAAGGTGGGTGGTATGTAGAAATGATCTTTGTTCTTTATACTGATCCTCTACTACAAAATTACTAAAATCTCATTAGTCTTAATAGTTTGTTTACATGTTCTCTTATATTTTCTATGTAGATAAAAGCATTTGTGAATGAGTTTTATTTTTCCTTTCCAGTCTTCCTACTTTTGAATTATTTTTCTATCTTGGTCTGGTTAAGATTTCCCTTTCATCAGACATGATAGTAACGGGCATCTTTCCCCTACTTCTGACTTTAAGGGAAATGCCTCTAACGGTCTTTCATCAATTATCACACTGGCTGCAGGAGTCTGATAGAGCTATCAAGTTAGAGAACTTATCTGTATTCCAAATTTTTTAACGGCATACATTTTTTAAAATTATGAGTGGTTGTCACAATTTACCAAAGCACTTTTTCTGCACCTATGAGAATTGTTACATTGTTTTCTTCCTGTCCCTTCAGAGCCTCCTCACACCTGCATCTTGCTGCCCCTCCCTGACCTAGGATAGCACCTGGACCCATCTCACCATTACCTTCTGGTTGAGGGGTCTGCCATCACATGGACAGCGTCGTTCTGAGCTTCAAACCTGGGAGAGGAAAAGGCCCAGTTCCTCAAAGTTTTCCACATGCTGACTTAGAGGAATCAGACAAGTTTCCGGTCACCTCTCAGCACTGGGTGGATTCACTTTAGTCCAACCTCAAGAGAGGGCATATCTTTGCAGTCTGAATACCGTGCAGAGTCTAAGTTGCAGCTACCTCCAACAGTGTTTTGTCTCCTCCTCCTCCTCCCATCTGTAAGTGGGCAAGAAAACTCAGGCCTCTGGCTCTCTGAAGGAGACCTCCCTGCCCACTGTCAGCAGCTGCAGCTGCCAGCTCCCAGGTTCAGTTTTCTCACGCTCAAATTTCTCCCCTACACTCTCTCCCTCCTGCACACCTGGGCTAAGAGAATTCCAGTTACATCTCACTCAGCATTTTAGGAGTCTGTGAAGAAGAATGTTGCTTGGGCCATCTTGCTGGCAATTTTATCTACTTTTTAAACAACAGCTTTACACTGGCACAGAAAGGTTTAAAGAGTCAACTTCTCTGGCCAGCGATTTAGCTCAGTGGCACCATGCCCACCTCACAAGCCCAAGGTCCTAAATTAGATCATCTCTGGTATCAAAAAAAAGAGTCAACTTCTGAATTCCTCTCTGGTTCTCCAGGGTAAAGACAGCCTCATCTCAGGAAATCTGACACTTGTGAGTAGACAAGCAAGTGGAACTTGGATGCAGAAGTGCCTAGCTCTTTACTTGGCTCTGACCACAGCTGTGATTGGTCTCCTCTCAACTTTCCCAATTGTGTAGGACCTTCACAGTCACTCCTGAAACTTGCAAAGTTGGAATGCTGTGTTCTCCTGAGGCTGCTCTATGCCTGTTTGGAAGCCAGATGACTTTGACATGGGCCATGAGGCTGGACATCCTAGGGCAAAACATCAGGGAGGTGCAACTGACGGGGACAGAAGTGGCAGGCCAAGTCCTGGCCTCTTCTCCACACAGAGCAGGCTTGGGCTATGAGCACCATGTTAAACACTTTACTTAAAAAAAGATGAATATTGTCAAGGAACTCCTGACCTAGACAGGCAATTTCGTGTACCTTCTTCCTCAAAAAATATGGCAAAATTGTTACATACCAAAGACACAATCATGTGATCCAAGCATGAAAGGCCCTTGTTGGACACAGAACTTATACTACCAAGAAAGTTTCATTGCAGTGTCCCATAACACCATTCCTCTGAAAGTTGGCAATGCTGCCCTACTGGGCATCTGAGGCAGATAAGCAAGCACTGGGGCCTTCTGAAGGGAAGCTCACTAAGGGAGACAGCCTTTTCTTCTCCTGCAGCTGAGCTAGCAAAAGCAAAAGAGTATTCCAGTATGGACACCACAGCTGAAAAGCACATGTCATCAGTGTGAACTGTCCAGGGTCAGAGAGAAAGGAGCTAGTCAGTTAGCAGCTCCACTCCAGGATGGTTGTGGGAAACCTGGAGTGGAACATGGAGATGCCATGTCCCTAAGATAGCCCTTGCCATGCACCTGCATGTAGTGAGAGCTCTGCTGTATCCTGGGGCTAGAACAGCAGGATCACCTAGCTCAATGCAATGGCCACAAAGAGGTAGCCAGTGACACTCAGCTTGGAAACCACAACCTAGAGTACATATTTTTAGTACTGCTGTTCATATAGACACATGTGATGTCCCACACCCTAATGCATCCCCTTCTGACTGCTCTGTATGACTGATATCAGTAGTCTTCACACACACACACACACATGCACATGCATGTGCACACACACATGGGCCAGGGTGGCACAAGAAGCACATGAAAAGACATCAGGCAGCATCCGTGCTGGTCACATGGGTGGCTTGTTACTGAAGCTCACCACCTGATGGCTGCTGAGAGACCAGGAACCCCACTGACCTCATCAGCCTTCTCTCTGGAGGCCACTTGCCCGGCATACCTGGGTCCGGGGCACACTTGTGCCCACTCTACAGGGCTGACACATCAACAGTATCAACTACTTGTAAAGCCCCTGTCACCCACAACACAGAAATTAACTCCTGGCCTTCATATTGTACGTCCACCCACAGATGCTAAACAAATATCCACAAGAAGTAGGAGAGAGCAGTCTTGTTCCACAGTCAATGCACTAGAATAGGCTTTGAGATCATAACCTGGGCCCACCCACAGGTTGGTGGCTCTCACAGGGTTCAAGAAGCATCTCCACCGGACGTGAAGCACACTCACCCCTGGAAGTCACAAGACATCCGAGCCAGTGCCCTGATGCACCTGCTGTGAGAGGGATGGAGGGCCAGGGATCAGACTCACAGGAGTTAGGACTGAGGATCCAGCAGAATGCGCCTGGCCTGGGAAGTGGTCCCAGCTGCTGGTCCTCTCGCTAGGATATCATCAGAGACCGTTCCCTGCCTTGTACGCATCAGTGTGCTGCATGAACACAGCACTATTGTGTGTACTGCTAATTGATGTATGTAATGCAAAACCACAGCAAAGAATACATGGCATTCATGCTGCTGGAAGAGGGAGATAGTGCTGCTTTCACAGGGGTTAAAAGAGGGCACAGCTGCCTCATTCCAGCCCAGCACCCAGCACTGAGTGCGCAACAGTTCTGTGTGTGAGCGAGAAAGAAGGCTAAGTGGAGGAAACACACACACATGCAGTGCCTATCAGAAGGCTGGCAACAACCGCCAACCTCCTGTGCCCTGGCTGTGTGTCACTTCCCCATAAGTGAACTCTGTGCTGGGTTCTCATTCAGTCCTGACACCAATCCAGAGAGGCAGGCTGCGTCTGCAGCCTTCTTCTGTCCAGCATGACCTGGTGGTGGGTCACTCAGACACATGCCGATAGGTTTTACTGACACCACAGGGCACAAGGCTTCGGAGATCTGCTCCACACTGGGTGCAGAAAGCCTGGGTGTGTCAGGGGGTTCACACCTAGGAGCAAATGGGACCAGTACTCCCTTCTCCTATTCATTCCACTCGAAGGGTTTAGGCGGGATCACACCCAAAAGTGCTGCTACAACTGGGACCGACAGGGACAACACAGCCCCCTGGGGGTGGCTTTCCTTTCCTCCCTGATGTACTCTTCCCTGTCCCATTCCTATTTCCCTGTTGCACCCTAAACACCAGCCTTTGTCTTGAACCTGCTTGGCAGATCAAACTTAGGCTGAGAGATGGTGCCAGGGTGGCTATAGAAAGAGGCTGTCAGAGTGGGATTCTGGAATCCAAGCTGAGATTCTGGAAGTGAACCACTCATCCTCCATCAGGGAAAGGGTCCTGCTGGAGGGCATGGTGGCCCTGCTCTCACATCCAGCAGCCTACCAGGGGAAGACCAGTGTAGGTAGAGGTGGGAGCTGCAGGGTCCACTTGGCTCCCAGCATCTGTGTAACTTGAGGTTGGAGTGGGGTCCCAGATATCTTAAATGAGCAGCTTCTGGGGTCTTGCACAACCCAGAGCACTTGATTAGTCTGGAAATCTCTGTGGCCACAGATAAAGAGTCCAGATGTCCTACAATCCTGTATGTCAGGGCCTGGAGGGAACTGTAAGGGCCAAAAGCCGCAGAGCTACTGAATGTGGCCTTATTTGATCTGTGGTGCCAAAGTATGGATCCTGGTAGGAAGAGATGGGAACCTGAGTCCTGGAAGGAGACAGCTGAGTGGACATTTTGGGCTGGGAGAAGCATCTTCAGGCACTTGCTGGGTGGGGGTGGGGTGGCCTTTCTCACCTTCTGAAGAAACAGGACCACAGTGCTATCATGGGTCCCTGGTGATGGGGGTGGCAGAGGAAGTCCTGCCTGCTGAACACAGAGCTGGGCCAGGACCTGCAGCCACCAGCTTTCATGCCAGGTTCCTTTACCCAGCAGCACAGACAGCATGTGGGACTCATGACCACACCTCCACTCCAGCCCATCCATGGACAAGAAAAAACACCATGTGAAGAAAGCTCAGAAATCATCACCAGATGCTCGGAGGATTAGGGTGGTATCCCTGTAGTCTCACTCTATTTACTTGAAGGCCCCCAAGAAAGAGCCAACCACTCACAGTAAATGCCAGGAGCAACACCAACCCTCTAAGTGGCTCCAGGAGCAGCTGCTAGGCCAAACACAGGGCCTTCACTGCACAGAAGGGCAAGGCCCAGATGCTCTTCACGCCACTATAGATGCTGCAATTGCTTTTCTTCCAAGCCCTGTCAACAAGGAGGTTAGAAGGTTTTGCTTTTCTGTAGGAGGGATAGCAGTCACCCTTGCCCTACATCTGTGCTAACCCCCAGCTGTCTGCAGTGTAGGCCTCAAGCACTGTGGTCATCTTGGCAGACAGAACAGCATGGTGCTCCATGTCTTAAGGGCAGCAAGCTGACTGCATGTGTACCTAGTTAACACATTTGTGTGGCAGGTGGGGCAGAAACCCTATAGAGATTCAGGCCTCTGCAAACAGCAGCTCAAAGCACAAGCCTGTATCCCACTTGCACCAGCATCTATAAATCCTTGCTCTAATATGGACATTGTAAATTGAAAACTCAACAGACCCCACTCAGAAAAGTGGCGCCATGTATATTTACTTGATATTAAGAGATGCTGGGTGACCTTAAACCAAAATCAGAGGTTTATAAAACTAAAATCATACACGGCAGAAGAGTTCATGTGAAAGTCCCCTACCCATAGTCAAAAGAATGTTAAAGTCAGCCAACTAGTGTGCTGGCAAGGTGCATCTAAGACGTCTGATGACGGAGAATGACTCAGGCCACACATCCTCAGAACAGAACTGACCCTTGTCCAGGATATCAAAGGTCATGTCCTCACCCTGCCAAAGAAACATGGGAACTGCTGAAAAGCTTCACTAAGTCTCTTGTTAGAGAAAACCTGGGTCTGCAGGCTGCACTCTTCAGACTTGCTTACTTTCTTGGGAAGTCACCCGAAAAGTGGAGGATGTATCCTTGGAGAGGGAAGGGAAATGGGTCATGAGCCCTTGGCCTTTCCCTGCCCTGCACCAGCCCCCTGCCCTAACCTTAAGTGCAGCCCTCACCTTGAGCCTAGCCCTAGCTGTAACCCTGTCTTGTGTTATGCCCTTTCTGCTCCACAAGTCCCTTGCTCTATCCTTAATCCTAATCCAAACCTCACTCTATGAACTACCCCCTGCCCCTGCGTCAGGCCCCTACCCTCCACACTCTTTGTGGCTCACACACAGATTTGGCTTTATGCAGTGCTGTTAAAAGGAGTCCTTCATACTTTCAAAGCTTTTTAAAGGGTCAACTCTCCATTATTACAGGGACAGAGTAGGCAGGCAACACACAGCCTTGCCAGCTTCTATGCACTTAGGAATGAGCCAGGAAGGTATTCTGAAAATTCATTTAAACCCAGAGCAGTGGGGCAGAAAGAACCATGTTTTCCATCCTTCCCTATAGCTTCCTCCAAGATGGAGCAAGTGCTCTTTTCAGAATGTGAGGTCTGCCTTCTGGGAACTTTCTTGAGGATGGTAAGGATAATAGGCATTCAAGTTCCAAAGGGTTTCTCTGCGTGCAAAATAGGGACAAGGAAATAACTGCAGCTGGTAATTAATCAATAGTGAGCAGTAGAGGTGTGAGATGTCAGCCACACATCATCTCTATGGGTGGCTCCTGGCATTTGACATTGTCCTTGTCCAAGCCTACAGGCCCATGGACATAGGCTAGGAGCAGCTAAAGCTGTAAGGGCTGCAGAGTCTGGCATGGTGAGAGGAGGAGCCCTGAGCTTACTGCTCCCCCAGAACAAGATGCTACACCCAGATTTTCTGACTCCAGAACCAGACTTTTAAAAGACAAGTACTGTGATGGTTTGGATACGTGACCCGCAAAGGCCATGTATTAAAGGCTCGGTTCTGGGTCGGTGGCACTCCTGGGAGGTGGTGGAACCCCTTGAAGGGGTCTCGAGACTTGGCCCCTTCCTCTCTGTCTTTGCTTCCTAGCCACCATCAAGTGAGCAGCCCTCTCCGCCATCCATTCCCACCATGATGTGCTGCCTCACCACAGGCCCAAAACAATGGGGCCCATACTGATCACAGATGGGAACCTGAGCCAAAAACCCTTTCTTTTGATTATCTCGGGCATTTGTTAGAGTAATAGAAAACTAACTATCACAAGCACTGATGTCAACAAATATGCAAGCAATGCTGGCAAGGACAGATAGGCGAGGGCAGCTGAGTAAAGTGGGTAAACTGGAGTCAACAGCACTTGGAAGAGAACTCTTTTGGCCTGATGAGCAATGTGGGGAGAGGCTCAGGGGGAGAGGCTGCTAAAATTCCTCCTCAGGATATATGAACCAAATTTGAGGGGCTAAGGGGGTCAGAAGCCTAGTATTGCACACTAAGAAGGCCATTTACTGGGTCCCATGCTCCCAGATATCTAACAGCCTCGAGGAACACAGACCCTGGCATTGAGAAGAATGAGGGGATGCTCAAAACCAGGGTGCCATGGACCAGGGATTTAGCTCAGTGGTGCTGCCACCTGCCTCACAAGTGCACAGTTCTGAGTTCAATCCCTGATAAAAAAAAAAAAAAAAAAGAAAAAGAAAAAGAAAGGTGTCAAAGGGCAGATCATTAGGCTCCTGCATTATCTTTTTAGGTTTCCAAATTCAGATAGATTTCTAAGATGTGAAACAAAGGCCAGGAAGAACAGACAGACAGGGAGAGCATGCATTAATTAAAACTGAGGCTCATGGAAACTCATATGGCTCATACCCCACAAGCTGGTGCAGCAAGCTTTGAGATGCAAGCCTACCCACTGGCACGCCTTCCCTCTGTCTTCCTGAGCTGATTCCATCATGCCCTCCAGGCTTTTTGGCAGAGCCTATCCAGTTTTAATTTCCTACCAAATGTTGAAGAAAGAACAACATTGCATTCTAATTTACTCTTGTGGCTTCTCAAACCATGCGCTCTTGACATTATTCTCAAGACAAGTCACTGAGTGCAAGGCTCTGGGCACTCCACATGGCACTGGCAGGCAGGGGGCACTTTTCATTGACACTTGGACAGTCCACTTGACACTTGCTTTGCCTTCTCTGAGTTATTTGTGGGGATCCCAAGAAGAGTCTATGCTTTTTACAGCAATCTGTTTTCTCTCCTACCAGGGAACAAACAACTCCTGTGGAGAAAGAACCAAGTGTCCACCTCCCAGGTAAGGAGTCCAACTTTCAGAGTTGCTGTTCTGGTTCCTGGAGAAACAGAAGGAAAAAGACAAACCCAGAACTCTAAGAAACCTGGCATAGTGAGCCCCAAAC